ACCGAAGATCGCTCACACGTTTGACTTGAAATTGTTGCATTGGATACTGTTGAAATTATGGATCGCTGTGTGAATTGTGGGATAGCAATTTCATATTCCATACCTGATATATATCATTGATATTCATTCATAATATGACATTTAAAAGATTATCCAATGGATATAATAAACATTTACTTATGCTTAAATAAGTTATTATTCAGCTCTTTTAAAGAGATTGTAACATAACCTAACTTTTACTAAATCTTTATTAACTCGGCTCTCAGATTGAGAAAACTTTTATAGTTTTCAGCAAGGTACTGATAAATCTGAATCTATTAATTCATATTAGTTTCATCACGTTACATTCGGGCCCAAAAATGTATGTAATCGTTTCAGTCTCCTTTAGAATTCACCGTGGCCTAGAGGATAAGACGCGCGGTATAGTTGTATTGAGCAATGCGGCCGATGTTCGAATCCCGCTACATGTACTCACTTCTTCTAACGAAACACGTAGTGAGTTTTCACGAATAACAACCACATCATGCAATAAAAATCGATACCGCAAATTTTTATAGGTTCGTGTTATTTTTGGTGGTATACAAGGTCTCATGATAGGTGTTGCGATTGCACCGACTTCTGCCATTTAAAAGTTAAGGGTTCCGATTTGAATTTCAATTCCGGTTGAACGAATGAGACAACCATTGTACAATATAATTGAGATTTCGATTTCATAACTTAAGGTGAGATGCGTCATTCAGTGATGTGTATGCCCTCCGGTAGCCACTTTGTTACACCGGGTGTGCCGTCAGATAATTCACGTATCTTATTATTATTTTATACCTTTAAACGAGCAATTCTTGTATATATATAATCTGAATCTCGGAAACGGCTCCAACGATTTTCACAAAATTTAGTATACAGGGGATTTCGGGGGCGATAAATCGGTCTAGCTACGATTTATTTTCGGAAAATGTTATTTTATTCGTGTTTTCAACAATCAACTCTTCCCGACATCTATTGGCGAATAATAATACTATTTTTCTTAATTGGGGGCAATTAACCGCTTTAAAGATACAAAAAGATGGCGTTATCAAAAAAAAAACCGAGAAAAGCTCGGTCATCTAGTGTACGTAATAATACAAAGCTACGATTTATTGCTTAGATGGGTGGACGAGCTCACTGCCCACCTGGTGTTAAGTGGTAACTGGAGCCCATAGACATCTACAACGTAAATGCGCCACCCACCTTGAGATATAAGTTCTAAAGTCTCAAGTATAGTTACAACGGCTTTACGAATGTTGTAGCGTGCAAATATAAATCATAATGCTTTAAGTTAAGACACATTGAGGTCGTTATAGTTTAAACAGTCAGTCGGATTATATACAATAAGATAAGTTAACGTTACGCCTCTCAGTATTTATTTTGAACTAGCGAAACCCGGTCACGATCTGAAGTGATTCTACCTAAATGTATAAAAAAAAGATATTCCTTAAAAACTTATGGCCATTATGTCGTTGATAATAATGCGATAACTGTTGCATTATGCACCAAGTTTTTCATTCTCAATTTTCATCAAAATCAAATGAATGGTTAACGAACGCAGAGTGGACGAACATACAAACATTAATTTTTATTCAGATTAGTGTATCGAGCATAATTCTAAAGTGCTAGAAATACTAAGATTAATTTACAATCAGATTATGATATTAAAGTAGATGGAAATGAAAATGTGGATTGTAACGATTCTCGCGTGTTATATAAGTAGGTTATTAACTGGATCGCACGTGAGAACGTCTCACGATGTGTCTCATTGACGCTTTCATTAATACCTTTCTTCCTGTTTGTAACGCGAATAAACGATTGTTATTAGCTAATAAGTGTTTTTTACTTTGATTAAAATTTGTTTTTATATTTGCCTTAAGAACGTCCAATGCTAATTTAGTTTTTGTAAATACATAATCTTTTAACGGCAATTACTAGTGGTGGGGTGCTTTATGAGCTAGCACACATAGGTACCATCTCAAGGTGGGTGGCGGTATTAACTTTGTTGCTGTTAATGGGCTCTGGTAACCACTTAACAACAGGTGGCCAATGAGCTCGTTCAACCGTCTAAGCAATAGAAAGTATTGTAGCGGCTTTTTACCAGCTATAAGCTAAGCTATAATTAGCTAAGACTAATAGACTTGAGTATCGAGTGCAACTATTTATTTTTCCCGACCTAGTCGCTGATAGGCTAAGGGGCTATTTCAGCTACGCCAGGACAGGTAGGTGAGCTCACGGGTTCACCTTGAGAGAATATGCTAACACTAGCTCTAGCCAGCGCAGTGCTTCGCAGAATTGAGAGCTATGAAGTCGTCGTGGCCTAAAGGATAAGACGTCCGGTACATTCGTCTTGAGCGATGCACCGGTGTTCGAATCTCAGGCGGGTACCAATTTTTCTAATGAAATACGTACTCAACAAATGTTCACGATTGACTTCCACGGTGAAGAAATAACATCATATAATAAAAATCAAACCCGCAAAATTATAATTTGCGTAATTACTGGTGGTCACCCATCTAAGCAATAAAAAACAATTAAAAAAAAAGAATAGACCGCCTGATTGGAGTTGCGGCCTACTGATAAGTGCACTGAAAAAGCCACTAAAGGATGCTATGGAAATATGTAACTGGAGTTGGCATATTGTTATTCGGAGGCTATTCTTTTTGAGATCTTCTAACTTAAAAGATAGTCAATTTTAATTTTAAGGAAAATAATAAATGCAATCACCGATAGGATTCTGATGGACATTTTCGCAAACATGCCGCAGCTGCCCATTGGCGTTTGCCCAAAATGAAACACGATAGCAAATTTGTTGTTAGCTTATTAGGAACAGTGCACACGGCTCTCTTCCATTCAACTTTGAAACGATATTTTTAAAGCGTGTAGGCTTTGCATAATTATCCTTGAACGGAAATCATCGACCCGATTCACAAGAACAAAAACAACTCCGTATAATCACCTTATAAACATATTATATAATAAACAAGTTCACATCAAAATTTTGAATAAATTTAGTTGCTAGTTTTAGATTTCTTTTTTCTTCTCTTTTTAAAACTGAGATGGACGAACTAGAATGGTCACTGGTACCCATAGATAACACAAATGGTAGTGCTTCCACCCACCTAGAGACGTGAAGCATAATTCTTAATTCTATTTCATAACGGCTGTTTTATGCTTCCAAGGAAGGATTTATTATTGCTCCGTAGACTAACAAGGAAGGTGGTACCTATCACTCCGTACTCACAATACCCTCTACCGCAAGTATAACTACTGAATTTATTTAGACTCTTACATTCGTCTTTCATTACTGATGATAGGACATCTTGTGTGTCCGCGCGGGTAGTTGTACCCACCCTGCCCATTTCTGCCGTGAAGCAGTAATGCGTTTCCGTTTGAAGCGTGGTACAGCCGTTGTAACTATATTTGAGACCTTAGAAGTTGTATCTCAAGGTGGGTGGCGCATTTACGTCGAAGATGTCTATGGGCTCCAGTAACCATTTAACACCATGTGGGCTGTGAACTCGTCCACCCATCGAAGCAAAAAAATAATAATAATAATAATAATACTTAGATTTGTGAAAATTTTACGTGCTAAAGTCCAATCCAAAGGCAAGTATCAATTGTCTTGAGAAATGATTCACTACCACCAGTAACCATTTAACACCATGTGGGCTGTGAACTCGTCCATCTATCTAAGCAATAAAAAGAAAATTCTTCGTAACTGCAAAGGTTAAACTGCTTATCGTCTTTATAGATCGATTAGTATACGGCCCCTCTGATGATGAATAGTTACTGGCGTTTTAAAGACGTAGCAATGCCACCGCAAGCGGCTATCTGACGCTGCTTACTTTCCACAAACCTCGTTTGAAGAAGGATATGTCACAGCGTTCAGGAAACAACACACTTTATAAAACTAATCCATATTGGGTAAAAATAACATCACCGTAATTGATGAGTAATCAAATTAACATATTTATTACGCTTTTCCGTTTACAATACATTTAAGTAACGCATTCGTGTGAACAAAATTTTGCCTTAATACGTCGTAGGTACTTTCCTCGGTCGTACTGTCCCGCTCGATCTTCGCACATTAAGATACATAAGAGCAGGATAGTTACAGAAACGAGGGCCTTTTTATTATATTCAATTTTAGACGTCATAAGAAAAGGAAACTCATAATTGAGCGCGGTGAACTGCGATGTGTTAAACATGTCTCTCTTTCCCCTCTCTATTCAAATTGTTAATATTGAAAAAACAACTATAATATTTCGTTCCTAAATCATACTATCCCTACTTATTCTATATGATATGTGAAAATGAGTTTGTTTATTTCCTTAAGTTTTCATGTCTCATTTACTCATCTGATCATTATAAAATTTTGCTTTAATTTTTTTATTGCTTAAATGGGTGGACGAGCTCACAGCCCACCTGGTGTTAAATGGTTACTGGAGCTCATACACATTTACAACGTAAATGCACCACCCACCTTGAGATATAAGTTCTAAGGTCTCAGTGTAGTTACAACGGCTGCCCCACCCTTCAACCGAAACGCATTACTGCATCACAAGAGAGATAGGCAGAGTGGTGGTACCTACCCGTGTGGACTCACGAGAGGTCATTCCTACCACCAGTAACCTTAATTATATACTTTATCAGGCAGACAGCATTTATTGTTTTACCTGCATTAACTGGAAGGAAACCATGTTTAACAACTAGTAATATATTTAGTTTTCAAAAATAATAGAACGACAATGAAAAAAAAAAGCGGAATTAAACCGTAAAAGTAAACGTAGCGTAAATGTAAATGTAATTCACGTTTCTTCCAGATTTTTTTTACGCGTCCTTTAACTTTATTTTAATTTTAACTTAAAACTAAGTGACGAATTACATATTTTGGCATATTTTTGGCTATAAAATGTTGCATGGGCATCATACATGAATCGCGGTCACTCATGCACGAATTGACCCGTCGTATTTTAAAACTTAACGTGTTTACAAAGTGACTCACGTAACGAGAAAGTTCATAAGTCCACTTGTATTGCCCTACAAAAAATGTTTACTGTATTAGTAGTATAGAACCTTCGTCAATGTTAAGTTGACTATTTGTCGACATGTTTTATTTGGTCATATTTTGTTACATTCGTCTATGACTCATTGGATTATTTAAAGAGTTGGATCGTATGGGAATCGTTTCGGGTGTGTGTTAAATGTAATAAATTTATTACAGATATATTATTAAATGTAAAAAAATCTCGAAAACAAAATAATCTGAATTTACAACAATACACCTTGAACTATAAATAAAGTTTCATTTCACCAATACAAGTACAATAATAGTCGTTCAAAAGTTTTATGTTCGTATATTTTATCACTCAAAGTACAAACTAAAGCTCGAAGTCGTAGAACGTTAGAAGAAAACAACAATAAGTTAGACAGGGATAGACAAAGTCCCACGTGAGTTATACTGACAATGGAGTAAAAAATATCGTAGGTACCTGAGAGGTAGACGCGCGCGATGCCCGCCCCCGTACCTCTAGACAAGTCCAAAGCCTCTAAAGGCAGTGTACTCTAAGCCTCCGTAGCGGCAATAGCGTGTATACACACGGTATACTAAGTCGGGTTCCACGTGAATTTAAAAACAACTGCATATAACACGTAAAAGTGCTTTCTTATATGCTCTTGTATCGTGCGCCGTGTGTAACGGTGTGACCACCTGTCGCGATGCACCTTATAGACAACTGGCATTTTCGCGCCTAAACTTTTTCATTGTATTCAAAGTGTTCTTAGTAAAACACGTATGTGTTGCGTGCGTGCAAATAAAATTTAATAGTCGATGCTAGTGAGGATAGGAATATCTCTGCGTTCGCGCATCGCGTTGAATTCAAGTGTCCTGGGAGTACGTGTACGGTTTACTTATTGCCGTATAAGTCGTGAATATTACATATGTATGTGTATAACAACGTTGAGTGTGTAGCCATTGTGTCCGATCACGAACATCACGACTGGAGATCGAATGCGGATTAAATAAATTTCGTTGTGATTGTACAAGCGATGCGGACTAGTCGGTGAAATGATAAAGTTTCGGTACAAACGTAAAGAGGCGAGCGATGGTGGAGGAACTAGTGGAACGGCGATACAGAAGCAGAAGATCGAGGGTCTGCGAGACCGGGAACTGTTACCTCCTAAGGACATGCTGTTAGCTGGCTCGCTGGCTGGAGTGAGACATAATACGCTCCCGCGCTCGCGTCCGCCATCATCCTGCAGACGCGACGCACCCGAACTTCAGCTTATCAGTTCAACGACACTGTCTTTGTTTAGAGTAAGTCTAGTTATTTTATTTAAATGTTCCAATGTTATTGAACAAAACAGTATGAAAGTTCTAAAAATAAATCGAAAAATTTTCCCAAAAAGAACACAGATTAAGATCACATTAATATTTAAAATACTCTAATTAGTATTTTTCATCAATTTGATTTACGAACTAATTAAGTGATAGTCTAAACTATAGGTACTTTATAGTAACATTTCCCTAGTATTTAGAATAAAATAAAAATAAAGCAAAATACTTCATCTTTCTGACTCATTCTTCAAATTTCGGAAGCTTTCGTAACGAAAAGTACTTGAAGTTCTAAAAACAAAATTAAACGTAACTCAACTATGAAACATACATTTGCATACTGGTAATAAATAATATGTATTTGTCAATGCGAAGCTTGTAAATGTATTGTGCGCGCGACGAACCGTCCGAGACGATTTGTCGCACCGCACGCACCAGGCATTATTCATAGCATTGCCCAATAGTCGGTAATTAGTAAGGTAAAAGCTTTTGTAAAAGTTGAGTATGATTGTCGACAGTTTTTTCCTTTCGTCGTATGGTGCTTACGGATAAGCTTCATACCATCCCGTCTGCGTCTGTCGTGAAGCAGTCTTGCGTTCTGGTTTGAACAGTGGGATAGTCATTCTACAGTAATAAAATCATAAAATAATACTGCCACCAACCTTATTTTAGCGCTTTTATTATTGCATTGTTTCTATTACGTAATATTGAGATTCGTGCTCAATATTAACCCGCCATTGTCAATTATATATTCTCCTATTATAATATAACAGTTACCAATTTGTAAGATTTTCATCAGAATACTTGGGTGCTTGCTAATAAAATACACGACTTGGATTTAAAAGTCGTACAAAAAATGATAATATTGATTTACATTTTACTTGATCTAAATGAAAAATGATAGAGATCTGAAGACAGGTGAGCACGATTTTACTGGTGGTAGGACCTCTTGTGAGTCCGCGCGGGTAGGTACCAACACCTTGCCTATTTCTGCCGTAAAGCAGTAATGCGTTTCGGTTTGAAGGGTGGGACAGCCGTTGTAACTATACTTGAGACCTTAGAACTTATGTCTCAAGGAGGGTGACGCATTTGCGTTGTAGATGTCTATGGACTCCAATAACCACGTAACACCAGGTGGACTGTGAGCTCGTCCACCCATCTAAGCAATAAAAAAAAAGCTCTGATGTTGAGTGGTTACTCCTGTAACAGTCTTTAGACATCACAACCTTGAGACATGAGCTCGAAGGCGGTATTATTATGAACAATGAGTGTCACACCTTTAAAACCGGAACACATAGCTACTTCGCGATAAAAATAGAGAGGATAATACTTTTCCGTGCGGGCTCATAATACTCGTTACAATCTGGTTTTTAATTTTGTTACTAACCATTATCAAAGCGCAGATGACTATTTACTAAACTTATATGACTATTTACTTTACATGTCAATTTAAGTGGCCGTCAAATACATACAAGACGGACTATTGTCTCCGACTCCGTGACGATCGCTAAGATAACACAAAAACCTTTATAGTAATTTGTTATTCATATTTCAAGCACGTATGACGTATACATATTTATGATTTTAATTTATTATTAATATTTATGAGTTGAATCGTTAAGGAACTTTGTGAGTTTTCTATGTAAAAATATCACGTCCTGCTGTAGGACTCCTGCTTGGTAAATAATACCGATTTATTTGATTTTCTTATACAACTGTGAAGATTTATAATTACAAAAAGCTTTGCACTTAATTAATCGATTAGAAATTTGAGACGGATTAAGAAGAGAGCAATTAATTGATTTCAGTTATCTTGTAACAAAGGAATAGATATTAATTATAAGATCTCGTATTATTTTATTGTTATTTAACGTAAAGCAACAATGAAGAAAAATAATATCGAAAGACTGAGTTTCTAGAAATTGTTTGGATTCTTAGAGAACAATATATTTAAAACTATAAATATCAGATCACATTTATTCACTTCTAAGTCGCTCCTGATTTTCGTTAATGAACCCGTTCTTTGGCTCTCCTTGTCCACTTTAAGCCTCAATGATAAATCCTTTTACAATGAGTAAGTAGTGTAGATATTTAGCACTAACAGACAAGTACTAAAGCAAACAGAAATCACGAGAAGCAGGGTCATGATTGTGTGCTACCTTTGGGAAGTCTCACGCCATAATACTGTGCGAAATTCTAACCGCATTCTCACAGTATATTTCTTTTTTGCTCCTATTAAAATAATGTACTTACTGCTTTGCAGAAATAACCTCCTTTTAATTAAAGCGCACGGGTCAAAGTTAATAATAATATTTTGAGAAAGATATTTGTACTTATTTAGACTGAGATATTTCGTTTTTATTTCTTTGGCAATAAGGAATTTGGCAAAAAAACCGTTTTGCTATTTAATAGTCACTTAGTACTGCCTCTGTCCTGTTAGTTTCTAGTTAAACTTAATTAAAACTATTAGCATTTGTAATTAAATATTTGCAATGCAGCGCCATTTGCAAATGTATTTGCATGAATGTGTTGTACATTTCCATTGTAAAATAGCATGTATGTATGTATGTAGATAAATAAATACATGCCTTACCAAGATACCACTTAAGGAATTTTTCTTCAATTCGCACATAAACTTAGTAAAATATTTACTTTGTTGTTTGTTGATTGCCATGAACTTCAATGACTTGCGCCAATAAGCAGTGGTTTCTTCGTCCGCTGAGTTTCGCGCCGGATCTTATCAGTGGGTCGCAATTCCGATCCGGTAGTAGATTCTGCGAACCATTGCTATTGCTAGGTCTAGTGTTAGTAAATTCTCTCAGGTTGAGCCCGTGAGCTCACCTATCCGTCCGAACGTAGCTGGAATACTCCTCTGTGCTACCAAGCGAATAACTAAGATATTTTCACAGGTGGGTGGCGCATTTACGTTGTAGATGTCTATGGGCTCCAGTAACCACTTAACACCAGGTTGACTGTGAGGTCGTCCACTCAACTAAGCAATAATAATAATAATACTTAGATTTGTGAAAATTTTACGTACTAAATTCCAATCCAAATGCAAGTATCAATTGTTTTAAAAAAATATTGTCACTACTTTCAAACCAGAACCCTCTGGACTCTTCCGCTAGTCTACTACACCAGACAGGGCGGTGGTACTCAACCCGTTCGGATATGCAATGCTGCTATTTTGCTGTTATATAAAATTTCCTAATCAAAAAATTAACAAATTACTCCGTTATAAAACAGTTTATTTACTGTACCGTTAATTATTATCACTCGTTTAACCTGTACGTGCTGATTCGATTTCTATAAAAAAGCAAATGAAATAAAGATTTATCGATGTCAAAACGAATCCGCTACAGTCTTTAGGTCCCATTGTTAATCTTACATCGTTAAATTATCAATTTAAATCGTTTTTAAGTTTTATAGAACAAGAGAATACTTTATGCTTTATACTGGTGGTAGGACCTCTTGTGAGTCTGCGCGGGTAGGTACCACCACCCTGCCTATTTCTGCCGTGAAGCAGTAATGCGTTTCGGTTTGAAGGGTGAGGCAGCCGTTCTAACTATATTTGAGACCTTAGAACTTATCTCAAGGTGGGTGGCGCATTTACGTTGTAGATGTCTATGGGCTCCAGTAACCACTTAACACCAGGTGGGCGGTGAGCTCGTCCACCCATCTAAGCAATAAAAAAAAAAGAATCAGTTCCAATAATCGGCATTGTCAAGGACTTAACATAACAATCTTTCGAAGCAATATATTAAATTATTTCAATTCTAAGATAGCTCATGTATTTTTTTATTATTATTTGGTTTTCAATTAATAATAAATGCAAGGCAGTCGAAGTTACAAGCTCCCGCTAAATGCATCACAACCGGAAGGCACGACGCAAGCTGCGTCCGGCTGCGGACCTTAAAGCTTTGTTAAACAATTGCTCATCTTTAAATACTGATTAAACTAACCAGTATTAAATGGGTTTTGTGTATAGAAAAATTGGAGTAAAATTCTAAAGGTTTTCTATTGAAGCAGCTATCTAACGTTAAAAAGATAATTAAACTGTCTACGTTGGATATATGACTGGATATGCCGTCGACAATATTTCGAAGTGAAACATATTCCGGTAAACAATAGGCAGAATAATTATAATGAAACCAGCCGTTTTTTCCCCCTACCTATGCTGATAGCCTTGAGAGACTATTTCAGCTTCACCCTAACGTGTAGGTGAGCTCACGGGGCTCAAACCGGAGTGTTGCTAACACTGGCCCTACAAAGAGCAGTACTTCGCGGAATCTACCACCGGATCGGAAACGCAACCCACTGAGAAGATCCGGCGAGAAACTCAGTGGGCTGTGGGTGAAGCTACTATTTTGAAGTCGTCATGGCCCAAAGGATAAGACGTCCGTTACATTCGTATCTAGCGATGCACCGGTGTTCGAATCCCGCAGGCGGGTATCAAATTTTCTAATGAAATACGTACTTAACGAATGTTCACGATTGACTTCCACGGTGAAGGAATAACATCGTGTAATCGGAATCAAACCCGCAAAATTATAATTTGCGTAATTACTGGTGGTAGGACCTCTTGTAAGTCCGCGCGGGTAGGTACCACCGCCCCGCCTATTTCTGCCGTGAAGCAGTAATGCGTTTCGGTTTGAAAGGTGGGGCAACCGTTGTAGGTATACTGAGACCTTAGAACTTATATCTCAAGGTGTGTGGCGCATTTACGTTGTAGATGTCTATGGGCTTTAGTAACCACTTAACACCAGGTGGGCTGTGAGCTCGTCTATACATCTAAGCAATAAGATAAAAAAAATCTAAAAAAATCGCACAAAGCAAAGATAAAAAAATGAAAATACAGCAGTGTGTGTTAAGCGACGTTTCTACTATTTAGTTAACGGCGACCGGTTACGAAATTAAAATGAAGCCGAAAAACACGTTTGTGCGACAAGCGATCAACTCGGCTGGGTCACGAGGAGTTTCTGACCTATAACTCAGCTTTTAACCGTACAATACTGGTTTGTACTTTTATTTTTAGAATAAACGACCTTATCTCTAAAACGGTAGGGACGAAAATCGAAATAAGAAATTGGTTTTCATCATAAAGAGATTGTGGTTTAGTTTTTTTTTTTTTTTATCTGAGAAATCGTACTCATAAACAATACTGTATTGACTGGTCATGTATGTACCTAAATGGTTGGATGCTTTTATTATTTAACATAATAATATGTCAAAGTAATATGTTAGTAAATTATCATAGATACCTATAAACTACTAGCTTTTTCCCGCGACTTCGTCCGCGTGGAATAGTTCACAAATAATGCTTTATTTTAGAACAAATTTGGTTAGCATAAAAAACGTTATAGTGAGCCAACCTTAACATATATTATAGATATATGCTATCGTGGACTTTTTTTTAGATCTTTTAAAGGGGAACAGTTCTGTCACACATTCGCACGCAGCCGAAGCTCTCAAATGGGGAAAAAACCCGATTTTGAAACATTATTTATTGGTGCTCCGCTTGTATTTGTCTTAGCGTGATGTTATATAGCCTATAGCCTTCCTCGAGAAATGGGCTATCTAACACTGAAATAATTTTTCAAATCGGACCAGTAGTTCCTGAGATTAGCGCGTTCAAACAAACTCTTTAGCTTTATAATATTAGTATAGATAAGTACAGATATAAACAATAAGATGTTTGATAAATAAACATCTATGCTTCAATATTATAGAAATACTGTTTTATTTTTTCCAATACAAATACTTATTTTAAAATGATAAGTTGCAGGTATATCATTTAAAATTACCTAGTTGCTTATGAATATTGCTTTTCATTGTCCACAGGAACTATTCTCACAGTTACAATGGTCCGCGGAACGCGCGCCCGCTGCGGACGCACTCCGCCGAGCTTTGGGAGGTGGTGGGGCAAGATTTCAATTAGGCTGCATGGCGGACGCTAGCGAGTGCTTCGAGCATCTCCTGTTGAGGGTCCACGCTCACGTGGCGGCCGCGGGGGACAGGAGAGACGACGATGCCTGCAGAGCCCCACACTGTGTGCCACATCGCAAGTTTGCGATGATGCTCGTTGAGCAATCTGTATGTGGTGCATGCCAGGCTACGTCTGAACCACTGCCCTTCACCCAGGTGTGTATATAATCTATACTAATATATATATCTACAGTGGTTTTTACGGATGTTCCGTTATAACTACTGAACCATATATCCGATTGACTTGAAAATTGGTATCCATGTAGAAAATACATGTACTTAATGGATAGGCTAATATTTACATGAATGTTGGACTCCTTACACCAGTTGCGGAGTCGTTAATGATGAGAATATTTGTGGGGGTGAGAAATAATAATGTTAATTTTAAATGGCCTGCGAAGCGGACAGATAGAATGATATAATAATGTTTTATTGATTAAAAGAAAAGCAATCTAATTGTGTGTATGTAAGTAAATTGGTAAGTAATTGATATGGTTATAAATATATTTATTGTAGATCTATATTTTTTTTGTTTATTTTTTTCTCTTCATTATAAGAATACTAGCCGTACTCGCCTGCTTCGCTGCGCATTTAAAATTAACATTATTATTTATTGTCATTATTAATTGGGAGTCCTGGAGGGAGTGTATTTTCTACGTGGATACCAAGTTTCAAGTCAATCGGAGGCATAGTTCAGTAGTTATAACGGAACATCCGTAAAAACCACTGTAGATTTATAACTAGTCAGGTCATAAGTATTGTCACACAGTAAAAACTTTTCTTTTAGAATGCTGGCCACAAAAAAGTTTATTGAATTCGAATTTCGAATTGTTCATGAAAATAAAAATGTATACTTTTAGAATTTTACTCATTTTTAAATATGGAGTGGACGCTTAAAGAAGACCGTGTTGCAGTTATTGCGTTGCATCGTTGCGGTTACGCGCCAATTCAAATTTTTAACATACTGAAAAATTTGAATATAACCAAAAGATTCGTTTATCGTACCATCAAACGATACAATGAAGACTCTAGTGTAGATGACAGGTCAAGAAGTGGTCGCCCTCGGTCTGTTAGGACTCCAGCAGTGATAAAAGCTGTGAAGGCGCGAATTCAAAGAAATCCCAAACGTAAGCAGAAACTGTTGGCCCTTCAGATGGGGTTAAGCAGAACCACGGTGAAAAGGGTGTTAAATGAAGACTTAGGGCTTCGGGCATATCGAAGAAAAACAGGACATCGTTTGAATGCTCGTCTAATGGACCTGAGACTGAAGAGATGCCGCGCTTTGTTGAAGCGGTACGCGGGAAAAAAATATCGGGAAATTCTTTTTTCGGATGAAAAAATTTTTACCGTAGAAGAGAGCTACAACAAACAAAATGATAAGGTGTACGCACACAGTAGTGAAGAAGCGAGCAACCGTATTCCGCGTGTCCAACGAGGTCATTTTCCATCCTCGCTCATGGTATGGTTGGGAGTTTCTTATTGGGGCTTAACAGAGGTACATTTTTGTGAGAAAGGTGTAAAAACGAATGCAGTTGTGTATCAAAATACAGTCCTGACGAACCTTGTGGAACCTGTTTCTCATACCATGTTCAATAACAGGCACTGGGTATTCCAACAAGATTCGGCGCCAGCTCATAGAGCGAAGAGCACACAAGACTGGCTGGCGGCGCGTGAAATCGACTTCATCCGGCACGAAGACTGGCCCTCCTCCAGTCCAGATTTGAATCCGTTAGATTACAAGATATGGCAACACTTGGAGGAAAAGGCGTGCTCAAAGCCTCATCCCAATTTGGAGTCACTCAAGACATCCTTGATTAAGGCAGCCGCCGATATTGACATGGACCTCGTTCGTGCTGCGATAGACGACTGGCCGCGCAGATTGAAGGCCTGTATTCAAAATCACGGAGGTCATTTTGAATAAACTTTAGTGTCATAAGAATCTATGTTTTGTTAAGTTCATTTTGGTATATGAATGGTTACATCTATATCTATACTTAATACTATAAAGAGGAAAGATTTGTTTGTTTGTTTGTTTCGAATAGGCTCCGAAACTACTGGACCGATTTGAAAAATTCTTTTTCCATTAGAAGCCGACATTGTCCCTGATGAACATAGGCTACTTTTTTTTTTTTTTAATTTTTTGTTTTGTTTTATGTGTGTTTTAATGTTTCCGAAGCGAAGCGAGGGCGGGTCGCTAGTAATGAATAAACTTGTTTCAATTATTTTACATTAAACATGTGACAGAATTTATGACCTGACTAGGTATATTAGTATAGATGTTTAAAGGTTTGGTCTATGTTGATAAATCTCTCTGAATATTGTTAATAATAGCACTGCTACATATTCGCCGTATCTTTTCAGAATATCCCTAGATGAACACGATTGACTAGAAGAGATCGCTTTTATAAGACTCCTTATTGTACAAACTATACTTACCTTATTACTTATCTTGACTTATTTTCAATGTTAATTATGTTTTGGAGTGCAATAATATAGTCCCTCTCTATTTGATAATATAATAGCTACCAAGCAAACGATTAAGAATCATGTAATGAATAATCTTTAATTTGCTTTTCCGCAGATGGTACACTACGTGTCAGCTACAGCTTTGACAGCTCAGGCAGCTTTAGGGGAACATGGAGATAGCTTTGGACTTTTGTTAAAAAAGGCTGGCGGAATGGGTGACATCAGAGATTGTCCTGTAAGTACACGAAGGGACATTAGATATTAAGACATTACTTACACAGTCATATCTATAATATACCTACATGGTACTCTTGTCTTTATTTTTCGACCAGTTTCATAGCAATAATTTGAATATAAATATCAAATATCTATTTAATACCAACGCAAATTCAGTATAGCATTTACTTATTTAAACCATTTATCGTTTTCAGAACGCATGTGGTGCTAAAATACAAATTTGCCGAACTTTGATGAATCGCCCCGAAGTGGTGTCGATCGGGATGGTGTGGGATTCAGAGCGTCCTTCTGCAGAGCATGTTGCCGCCGTATATGCAGCCATCGGCACAGAGCTGCGGCCCACCGACGCATTCCATGCCTGCGTCGATCGGGCTTGGGCCGCCCGAGCCACTCATCATCTCGTTGGAATTGTGACTTATTACGGGAAACACTACTCAACGTTCTTTTTTCATAGCAAATTGCGCCTATGGATATACTTCGACGACGCTGACGTGAAAGAAATTGGCCCGGAGTGGTCTTACGTGGTCGATAAATGTAGAAGAGGAAGATTTCAACCTCTGCTATTACTTTACGCAGCGGTCGATGGAACGCCGTGCGACACCAGGAATGCACCGAAAGACGTCGTGCCGTTCCCCGCGCCAGAACCCAGACGCGCTATTACACCTGCGCCGGAACGCCCGGCTAATGGGTACGCGAGACGAGCTGTCACTCCGGGACCAGACAACGATAGCGATTATATGAATAGAAAGGTCATGGAGAGTGCAAACATTTTAGACGCACAAGCCGCCAGGCGAGCTCCGTTAGTGCGAAGTCTCAGCACGGGCTCCACATCGGACTCTAATGAACGACCTCGGGCTAGAAGAGATTCTGGCAACTGGAGTGGCGATCGTAACAGTGCATCGTCAGCCTCGTCCTCTACAGCAGAAAGCCCGTACATGTACACTAGGGGTCGCGGCCCTGGGAGTGTTCCAAGTAGTCCCACTCGCAAAGGGGAACTCTCAAGTGGTGGTTCATGCGATGCCGGCTATGATTCGTATTCGCTTTCATCGACAGACAGCTTACCGCTTCAGCAGGGACTGCGCCATAACTTGCAACGTGCACAACAAATGCCGGAGATAAAAACACGAGGTGATTGTGAAGCGCTGTGTTCAGAAGCTGATGCGCTTTTAGAGAAAGCGCGTAAAGCCGAAGAGGCGGCGGATTTTGAAACAGCTTTGGTACTCTGTGACGCCGCTATAGCAAAATCCCGCGAGGCCATGGATGCTCCTTACAACAATCCTCACATGATGGCATTCGCACGAATGAAACAGAACACTTGCGTGATGCGGTCTCGTAATCTTCAAAGGAGAATGGGAGGCATGTCCCGAATATCAGAAGCGCAGCAAACAGCTCCCGTGAGGAATACAAAAAGTGGATTGGAAAACTCACCGGTCACCATTGAAATATACGCAACGCTGCCCAAAAAGAAAAACTCGAAGAAATCTCCAAAAAACATAGACGATGACATTGACAATGTGACCCGTGAGCGACCGCCTCGTCACAAGTCGCGTGACGAGGAGAAAGGTAGAGAAAAACGCTCGAGAAGCGAAGACAGAAGCCGGGCCAGAAAGGAAATAACTGTCACGGCAGAAAAAAAGGAAGAAGTAACCGAAGACAAAAAGACTAATAAAAAGCAACACAAGATACGAAGAAAGTTATTAATGGGAGGATTGATACGAAGGAAAAACCGATCGATGCCCGATTTAACAGAGGGTGCTGACGGCAACAAAGAAAATTCTAATAAAGAAAAACGTGTCTCCTCCGTTGACGACACTGACGTAGGACGAAAGACGAACGATGATAAATCTCCTTTAAGTGGTTATCTCTCCGAGGGGCACTTGGAGTATTCTGCTGCAAGTGGGACGAACCCTAACTTGGAACGAAGTAAGCTTATGCGCAAGAGTTTTCATGGTAGCGCCGGTAAAATATTGACCGCTGCTAAAGTTCCTCCACCACCACCGGTGCGCACCACATCCCAGCTTAGCGGGACTAAGTACGGATATGTGGATCACAATAATGACAACTACTGCCCCGAAATAGAGGAAGACGGTGGCTTCTCTGAACAATACGGAGATGAACCACAATCTATGCCTTTCCTACATTCTTACGACGATTCACACGTTAATCATTATGATATAATGGAGAGTCCGCAGTCACAAAACTTTCATACTGTTGTCACAAAAGCCATGATCCACCAAGAACAAAGCCCTGTGAAGAGAGACCTCATGCCACCAATACAGCCCTCGCATAATAACATTCAAAACATGAACTTGGCATTTGACAACGGTATGGACGTGGTTGATTGCGCGTTGCCTATGAGTAGATCACCGCCAACATTTGAGCTGCCCCCTTATCCCAGTCCCATGAATTCTGTCAGTCATTCACGTCAGCCTAGTGAAGAGTTTCCGCCACCTCCACCACCGATAGATTTAACACCGCTGCAAGAGGAACTGCAGAAAATACAAAATATAAATGAAGTTTCAAATACCAATGAAACGCAAGCACCGCAGGGCACACTGTTAGCACAGTTGCAAGAGAAGCGTAACCAAATTCTTAAAAACGAAAATCTGACTAAACCGCATCAAATGGAAACAGTTAATCACACTGGCGATAGTTTAGTGAGAGAACTGCAGGCTGCGTTGAAACTTAAAAGATCTGGGTCTCTAGAAGGCCAGCTGTCCAGTCCTTCAGAGAAAACTATCGAGAACAACATCAACGTTAGAAACATTGCGTCCAGATTTGAAAACAACACACAGAACGCACATGCGGATAACGAAAGACCGCATATTTCATTAGCGGGGATGAGCGGAACCCGAGACGTCATAAACTGTTCCGATCAATGTAATATCGGTATTTACAGCAGAAGAGCATCGTCCTCGTCCATTGATGCGAAACAAATGGACCAAGAGATAGCGGATCAGAGACCCGTTCATAATACATATTCCGATCGAAGTAAACCTAAAAAGAAATCGGTCTCTTTCTGTGATCAGGTGATTTTAGTTTCGACCGCTGAAGATCAAGAAGACGATAGCTATATCCCTAATCCGATCTTAGAAAGGGTTTTGAAATCTGCTATGAATAAGCCAGAGCTGACAACGATGCCGTTACAATCGGAAAAGCCCGCGTTGCAGCGGCAAGATTCATTCGACAGTCAGTCGTCGCGGTCTACCATATCCTCGCTCTCGCAGAACTCGTTCGTCGGGGCCGATGGAAACCACGCTGAATACGTCCGTCTCCAGAACACTTACCCGACATACCAGACGGCGCAGTCGCGACTCCAACCTCAGTATAACGTGCAGAAAAGCGTTGGAGTGTACGGTACAAGTCCTACAGCACCGCCCAATCAAACGCCAAACGCATTAAACGGCAATCAAATATACCAATCATTGCCGACGAGTGTACCTCAAAACGTTCAGAGCCCGATACCGTACACGCAGCCGCCGCCAGTTTATTCAAACCAGAGTAACGCGAGCCCACCGAACTTTAGTCAAAACCCTGTGAATAGACTGACGCCGACCGCGCAAAACGCCACCTACCCGATAAAACACGCCGCAAACTTGCAACGGAATGTTCCTAACCAATACCCACCAAACCAGCGCGCTCAAATTAATCAATTGCCTACGAATGCGTATTACCACAGATTACCCCAAAATTCGACGTCTTCCAATATACCTAACAATAGTCATAATATCAATCGTCAGTATGGCAACACTGTTCCACAAAGCAACACATTACCGTACCAGAGCGTACCGAGCAATACGTCCGCATACCAAAACTACCACAACCCACCGACGAGCTACATGACTGCTGAATATTCTAGTCGATTTCCGCAAACGACCGCGAACCATTATAACCAATCGCCTTATCAAAGGGTTCCGCCGCCGCATGGTGATGTCCCTGTTGACGGTTACAATAACAATACATACCAGAAACTGAATACCAATTATTATGTCGATAATCCGAGTCAACCGCGTGCTGTAGACACGAGGTCGTACCCTCCGGCGCAGCGTCCGATGTATAATCAAAACGTTGAAACATCTAACAACGAACAACATGGTCAATTTCAATATACACAAAATAATTATAATAATAATTCGTATCAACACGTGCCAGCCTTGAAGCAATTGCAGAAAAAATCTGTATCGTTTGAGCCCGGCACAAAAGGCGGCACCGATTCACCGGTGCCTCTTCAGTTCAATCCATACCCCTGTGTGGACAACAGTGGAGATAAGACTCCTTGTAATTTGTGCCGTAAAAGAATTGTCACATCTCCCGCCATGTACTGCACGGATTGTGATTACTACATGTCTAGGTTTAAACCTCGTTCGTAGATCATTAATTTTCGTATTAAAAGCTCTGAATATTCTATGGACTGTAATACATTATGATTGTGTATGAAATTATGTATTTGAATACAACGCATAAGAAACGACTGATCTCACCCGGGAATAAATTTATAACTTAGTCTATAAAGCAGTTATGTAGCGTTTAATTAAGTATTTTTATATTATTAAATTAAATCAACGTTGGTTGAAATCGTTTTGTAAAAGAAGTATTATTACTTAAATAAAATAGTAAAAACACATTATCTATGTCCTTTGGTTTTATTATTCCTATAACAAATGCTTCAGTAGTAGTAGTTTTATTTTTCCAAATGGAAAGGCAAAGGTGTCGTACCATACAGCCTAATCTTTTATATATATTTTTTTATTTTATGAAATATGATACTATGAAATGAAATGAAGTTGATTAATAATATGAAACATGACATGATATGAATTGAAATGAGATGAGATGATATAAAATGGGATACTTTTATGCAAAATGATAATATGAAGTGAAATGAAATGAAGATGATTAATTAGAGACATCAATCAACTGGGATGAAATTAAATGAAATTAGAGATGATATGGGATGAAATATAATCTCAGTAAAATGGTGGTTATTTACTAAGATTTTTTCAGTGGACTTTTTGGAGGATCCGGAGAAGTTACGTCCAGCGGCTTTGTTCCATTTTCCCACATTTGTGCACTGTCACAGATATTAAACAGTTAATAAACCACCGTTATTACACATTTAAACCTGAAGAAACACTAAATAGGCAAAATAAAACAAATCACACAACTTCACTCCTCGCGTTCCCGCCAAAAAGTCTCACAAATGCTTCAACTATTATTTTCAAGGTTTTTTTGCCTTCAAAGACAGGCAAAGATATAAACAACCATATTACCCATGATCGACAGAAACACTTCAATATTACTCCAATATCACCACAATCTGAGTACTCTAAATGTATTCCCGATGCACAAACACGGACGAATCAAAATAATATCTGACTTCTTAAAATGTCGACGTATCACCATAAAATCCAACGCAAATTCACAACTTCACGATGTGAACTATTTTTCCTTCATATTAACAAATCTCATCTTATCGGATCTCTTAAGACAACAGTTTTTATTTGCCTAAGAGAATGTGTTATGTAAGCGATTGACCACCAATTAAATGCAACCACCTAAGTATTTCAAAACAAGGTCAAGGAAGCGTGATTCCTGTACATGGCATTCGAATAACCCTAAAACCGAGAAGCATTTTTATTGCTTTTCAGTAGAAATACGGTAGGATGATGATACTGCATGAATCAACGCCTAGTAGTAGGTAATACGCTAAGAACGGAAATACTAATCTTGCCAACAGTTGAAAGTTTTGAAGCTTTCGCATATTTTGGAAATTCAGAAATTGTTCGTCGTCATTGCGTCGAGTGACATCTATCTTTTACTTAAATAAAACCTATTTTTAATGAAAAGTTCGAGTCATTACCTATAACGCTGAATTATAATGATACTTTGGTAATTGTTTATTTGATACTCAAGAGATGGCGCTAAACCCAATTCATTTCGCAAACTATTCTACTACGTATTAATTATTTTATTTTTAATAAAAGAGTGACAAAAATAACTACTTATTTAAATCTATTTTTATAATATAAAAAACAGAATTACCCGTTGATAATTTAATTTTCAAATATTAAATAAACGCGATCACAGCGCCAAAGATAAGTTCTCTGATCTTTTACCTAATCTTAGTATAAATAGGTAATCTATACCTAATCTTTGTAGAAAATGAAAATAGTGCTGTGTTGCAGTTTAATAAAAATGCCTCTTTACTTGAACCGATTTGCTTTAAATTCGAATCAATGCATAATGAATCGAACAAAATAGGCTGAAGATATATTATAAGTAGATAGATCATAGAATCTTATGAAAATAGTCTGTTTTCTAAGAATCAAAACTTGGGTAGACGGTCCTAAAACTGCATACTGTAATATGATTTTATTTGGACCAAATATTTAATTAATGAAATAAATAATTAATGGAAAAAGTAAATAAATATAACAATATTTCGTTGGCAAGGCTTAAGTTCAAAATTGTAATAAACATACATATAATTCGAACTGATAGATTCATAAACCAAAATATTATTTCGAAATATGTCTGAAAAAGACTTCGATCAACAATAGTAACTAGATTTCGGGTCGGTGCATAAAATCCGTCTCGACAAATAACAGCGCACTTGAAATGTGAGCTCTTATTTTGTTTAGTTCACTTCAAACACAGCCAATGTCAACCCGTCTCACAATACCGCAGTGTGTATTCAAAAGTTGCAAAAATAAGGCCCGAAAAAGCAATTTAACGGCCGGAGTATCTTACTTTCGGTAAGTACATGAAGTATAAACTATATTGTAAGCTTTAAACTTATAAATAATATTAAATTTTGAACAAAATTACCGATTTTTAACCACCGCTACAAATGTTGGCCAAGGCTCGGCCAACACATGGACAAACTTTTGCTTAACAGAACAGTAAATGCATGGAGTAGATTTGTGTTGTAATAATTTTTTAAAATTTGTTAGCAGCACTTCAAAATTAGTTGGTTAAAATTGGTTAATGCTGCTTTTGTGTCTGTTTGTTGGACTCTCATTAGATACTTAGCTTTCCATTTTTATTTTAGCTTTCCTAGCAATCACGTGTGCAGAATGGATCTCGATTGTCGCCAGAGAAACAAGAGATGACTTTTATAAGCCAGCTAAGAACTCCGCTTATTGACACTGGACATCTTTGCCTTCCGTGCTCACGGCTACTGAAATGTGGCCGAAACATTGTAATAAAAATACCACGCTTGAAACCGTTTAAACGTTGTTTTATTATGTGCACTGGTCGCGAAAACTTAAAAATATATATTACACAAAAACGTAACGCTAATAAAATAATAAGTAATGTATAGATACTAACAAACATACATTTCCAAAACATAAAAAGTAAACAACTAAACTTTTACTTTAATTCATTAATAAATTATTTTAGTGTTAAGCGCGACTCCCTTACCTCCTGTAGTAAATAGAAATCGGCATTTCAAGAAGCAAAAATAAATAAAGCAAAACGATGTTAGTTCTCAGAGCAATTAAGGGAAAAGTTACTTTATTTGTTGCACCTTAAGATTGATTTAACATTAAAAGTTGTTTAAAATATGTCTTTTTATTGGTAAGTGACAGGAGTAATTTATTGCTTTGCTCGTTTTATGTGACGAATGATCGTAAGTATTAGATAATGTTTTGGAGATTTGTGACTTTATTACTAGGTGCCATAGTTGTTATTAGTTTGAAAGTAAAAGTGTTTCAAAACTTTTTTCTCCGTTTGTTAATAAACGAATGTAGCTGTATAAGTATATATTCACGCGGACAGTTTTTGCTTTAATTTTGTACGTATCCCTTTATCTAGTTACTATTGTTGATCGAAGGAAAAAGATTACCAAAAAGATTATTTGATTGTTTAGTACAGTTGGCTAGGTACCACTACACTATTTGACTTTCGATTGGTGACTAGAGCTGCCAAAATAAAAAAAAATACTCCCAAAAATTTTTACCGATTTTATTGGAAAGTTTTAAACGTGTCAAAGTATGGCACACTCACAATGTTTACTATAAGACCCTTTTGTTTCTATGTAACGAACAGTGTAATCATTTTTAAATCAAATTAATTTATTTATTATAAAACTTAAAATTTATAAATTATAACAAGTGTATTGAGAATCTTATGTAAGATGAAATAGTGAAACATTCCAGATATTATTATTCATTTTAATATAAACAGTGAATCTATAGTAGTAGAGAAGTAGATCTAAGCCGAAACAGCTTTGTGAAACTTCTTAATGTAATCTGAAATAAATTTTGCTACCGTAGTTTTATTCAGAAAACACTTCAACACGAACAATTCCAACGAAATGCAAAAGTTTCAACGCCTGGCAGCCCTGCGTTGAAATGACTTAAGTTTAATGGCGACTGCCGATTGGGGCTGACGGTTGTGTGTCGAACTGTCTCTATTTATATTTTTAGAATATTAGGTGTAGATTCGTAATAACTGATAAACATGACGGGAATTTTACCTACGTATCAGCGGTTTGTTAACGGGGTACCCGTCCCGTCCATATCTCGGCGGTCGTTCCGTATAAGAGAGAAATATCTGATTGTTTCTGTACTTTTGACGTTCGGAATCGTGTGGTTAGGAGCTCTGTTTTATTTACCTGAATTTAAAAGTTCGAGCAGTGTGAATGACAGTGTTTACAATGTGTACAAACGTATTCAGAAAGCGGGTCCAGAGCTGTTAATGCCTCCGCCACTCGCTCAAAACGATGTGGGAGACTTTCCTGTGGTCGGTATCGTTCGGCATGGCGAAGAAGGTGACGACCCACACATAGTTGAGGACAGAAACAGACTTAAAGCTAAGATAGACGAAGACATGGGCATGAAAGTTCTCGAGAGACCGCAGTTTGATGTTGCACCTTCTGTATCTTCTTCTCGAGGTCCCAGCAAGCCTCCTGTTGACGCAATAGAAGAGCCCGCTGTTAGGAACTTCGCAGCTAAAGACGCATCTCCGGCTGGTCCTAAACCAGACGGGTCTAATAGATACGTCGCTGTTGCTATCGGTCCTAACGCTGATCCAGATCAGAAACAAAAGTTAGAGACAGTTAAAGAGGTAAGATCTGCTATATAATTTGAACAAATTAAAATTTAATTAAACACCATTGGTTAACTTGATACCACTTGAAGTAGTAGAAGCAAGTAATTAATATATACAAATTATACATAAGATAAATATCAATACTCCCGAGATGGCTTAGTTACCATGACATTACTGCAGTATGTAGAGCAGATTTTGATATTCATTAATCTTGAATTTATTGACATAAAAATGCTTGACATGAGTGAAAAGGTTAGACTTCAAATTAGTCTAGTAACTACTAGACAGACTTAACAGACAGTTGTCCTTTTATTGACTAAACTGTGATAGTTATTATATCTTTTTAACTCAGATATTAATATTTTAAGGAAGCAATTAGCAATTACTGAACAGCTAATATAGCAGGTAAAAAAAACACCTGTTTTATTAGCAACATACAAACTTGAGTTGATATCTAAATGGTATCTTTTGTGTACTAATCAAACCCAAATTTCATTTTGTTGTGTGATTACTCAAAGTTGCATTCTCTTTTACAATTATTTCTGTAAAGATATATTTGGATGATTTCATCCATTCAATGTTCACACATATGCATTTATTTCACCTTCTCCAGAATAGAAGAATATGGTTCAGTTTCTTAACATTGTAAATTTCTATGCGTACACTTGTAAACATTTTATTTCAACCAGCTGCTTCTGTTTTAATAATTTCACTTTGTTGCATTATTAACAATGGAATAATTGTAAGGTTTTATGCACATGGTTTATCAAATTATTATTGCTAATTGCCACTAAGTCCCATACTGTCAACCGATAAACCAAAATCGAAAATGAGACTGCTCATTATTCTCCGTGTTTTTGTAGTTGAAAGCTATTCATTTATTTATTTCAGTAAATTGATGTGCACACAATGATGAAACTTCATTCATAACTGATACTTTAATTTTTATAATAATTAAATCTAATTGTCAGTTTTTGAAGTGTTTAATAAACATGCTAATGTTGTACACAATAAAATGGTACATAATTGTTTTCTATTTGCCTAAATTTATATACACATGCACATATTGTTAGCAAATCAAATACCAAAACACTAATCAATTGTAACAAATATTGTTTTTTTTGTTAAAAATTTTAATCAACTTAAAATCAAGGTCATCCACTATTTAATTCTACTATAGTCACTAACATGATTGTGTAGCCATTTCAATATATATTTCATATTTACATACCTACATTGCTTTTATATTGTATTGGATTCCAAATACATATGTACCCTTTTTTTTTGGTCGTAATAAATCATTATGACAAAAAAATCACATTTAGTAGCCAAACCTGTTATTATAATATTTTCCCCGTACCCATCCAACCGGGAATAATATGTCACTATTTTATAATTTGAATAAGCTTACAGTTTTATTATTGTTTATGTGCTTGACTGTCATCAGACGACCACCATTGGAACGGTAGGTATTGATTGAATTGCTAAAGCAGGATGGAATCAGTGGGAATACCATTGAGGGTACTCCTATTATGGATAGAAGATCGAAAAGTAGTAAACCGTGTAGTGCTATTATTGCAATCAAATTGCGACAAGTACTGATTTTGATATTTGCAAAACTATGCAACTCGGTCCCCAGAAATTGCTTCGGGTCGATATAATTCAAATTTGTCTCCTGTTATAATGCAGATTGATATCTAGTTCATAATAACACGTTAGTAATAAGTGCATATATGTAACTTGAAAATATTGTGTTCCGTTTCATGCCAAAAACAAACATTTTTGAAGTTGCAAAGTCGTAATACGTTATTAAAACTTCCAAGCAAGGCTGTATGTATTATAATAGTTAATCTCCATAGTAATTGCAACAGCAGGCTTCTGTGTGACATGGACTGTGACTAGTATTGTATTAATTTCGTGAACAGTCATAATGGAGATGGAAATTTGTATTTTAGCTCAAGTCAGTTTTCATTTGTTTAACGTGTTTAAAAAAAACGATTGTTTATTGAAATTTGATCTACATAATTAAAAGTTATCACTTTCCTTTTTAACTTGCTAGTTTTAAATATTTATTTGTGTCACTAAAGTCTCAGGAGTTGGACTGAAACTCACCCATTTCAAATTCATCGTGATCATATTTAAAGGACCTAGAGCATCTTGATTTTGCTCGGGATTAAACAAGAAATGTTTAAAGATTTCATTTACGTAATTGATATTGTTTTACCCTGACCTTTGTACTTTGGTACTTTAAAACACGAATGTTTTTAATTATTATTTTAATAATAATAATAATATAATATAACTATTTATTTAACACCAGATGTACAGAGTAAGCATATAAAACAAATAATAGACGGTGACATAAATTGGCGGCCTTATCGCTGAGAGCGATCTCTTCCAGGCAACCTTGCAGGGAGAGGATTAAGCAAACTGAACGGTGCTGTATCTTATTATTATTTTCTTTTTGATTATCTTTTAATTAATGTAGTGGGATTCTAGGCTTTTAAGCCAATGCGCTATTTGGTATTTATGAAACGAAGTGAATTGAATTGTAACGAAATTTAAGTTTTTTATTTTTTTTATTTCCTTTGTAGACAGACGAACATACGGCCCACCTGATGGTGAGTGGTTACCGTCGCCCATGGACTTCAGCAATGTCAGGGGCAGAGCCAAGCCGCTGACTACCGCTTAATACTCTCCACAAGCCTCGTTTGAAGAAGGACATGTCATAGCGCTCGGGAAACACCGTGGAGGGGAGCTTATTCCATAGCCGGATGGCACGTGGCAAAAAAGATCTCTGGAAACGCAGTGGCTCCAGGTAGTATGGATGAACTCTACTCCGGTGGCGGGCGGTGCGATGGTAAAAACATTGATTTATCTAAATAATTATTATGATCTGAATGTTTAATGAACACGATTACAGAATTAAATGAGATGAGATATGATGAAGCGAAAGAACGTTTCAGCAAAACAGAGGGTATTTTCTACCACTTCTACCGCTATTACAGGTTTATATCCCAAAGAAACAATATATGCAAATACATATTAACAAATAAAACAATTCCAATTATTATTCCTCACGTTCCTGCCAAAAAGCACATAATATACAATTTCAAATTCGTTTTATTTAGACGTAACAATTTTAATGGGTTTTTTCATTAATACTGATTTTTAAATTGTATGTTCATTTTCTAAAATTACATATTTTTTTATAATATTAATCAGTATTTTTTCAGTATTATCGCAAAATAGCAACATTATTAAAGTTTGAAAATAAACTAAATACTGCCCTGACAATGAAATAACAATGACATTCGTTCAGTTCAAACCATGACGATTTCTTCACGTCTAACTGTTAACGCAAGGTTTCCCTTCCGTAGTTATATATACATCAGAGAAAGTCGCAATGCATAACGTTTCGTATTTATTGTCTTGCTAATATTTTATTACTTATTGACTGCACAATAATTGCTGTATTTGAAAATTTCGAGCATCAACACCAACAGATAAATTTCATGGTCTTGATCACTTGGCTGCCGAAGCTTGCTCAAGGTTTTGACGGCACAATTTGATGCCGCCACGTTCTAGTTTCAGACCTGAACAAATACTTATCGAATATATGGCTATTCTACAATTTAAAAGGGTTACTGTTTAATGACATATATCATACTATTTAATTTATTTTTACTGATGGTAGGACGTCTTGTAAATCCGCACGGGTAATTACCACCAACCCGCCTATTTCTGCCGTGAAGCCGTAATGTGTTTCGGTTTGAAGGGTGGGGCAGCCTTCTGTGAAAGGTGGTTGTACTGTTAATACTGAGACCTTACAATTCATATCTCGAGCTGGGTGGCGTCATTTACGTTGTACACATTGCCATACAAATACGTTAGAGATTGCGACCTTAAGTCGTTAGATGGTTGGTGTCTATAGACTCCGCTAAACATTTAAGGTCTTGGACAAAAAGGACAATAATTCATCTTGTCTCCGTCTACAATAATAAGATGTGTGGTGTTGTGGGACACCGGATAGGAAGTTCCTTATTATAAAAATATTAATTTTAAGTTTATTCGAGGTATAAATAAAATAATTATTCGGGTATACATTTTTTATTATGATTTTTTTATTGATAAAAATAAAAATAAAACTACAAAGTTATTAACTTTATTTTATTCACAATGATTTATAAAAAATATATTATAAAAATATGTTATTTTTTGTATGTTATTAAAGTTAAGTCGTACACTGTGTGCATTACTAATAAAAATCTTACGTTACGGACGTTTTTTCCTGGTTACGGTACCCCTCCGCAATGTCCCATAAGGAACTTCGTTCCAACAATAAAAAATCTATAATGTATATTTAAAAGAAGTTTGATTTTATGAATTTTTTTTCACCAGAAAGAACAGTGGCCCCTACTATAATGCATAAAAACAGACTTTTATAAAATACATGTCTCAAAAACGTGAAATAAAATATAACGGTTATACTTTAAAAATATCATAAATTCACAGAGAAATCGGGTTACATGCGGATTTAAATGTTTTGCTGTTGAAATAATCTTCCACTCATTTCCATCCATGATGCGATATGAATTTTGGTCACTGAACGACCACTAGTCTTATAAATAAATCTTTGACATCGTCCAGAAATTTGATCATCATTTTTATTAATGTTATTTTACGAGCTCGGCAGACGATCATTAGTCCATCTGGTCTGGCTAACAGACCACATATCTCATTGTTTAGTTTATGATGATTATAAACCGCTATTATTACGCCTCCTTTCTCGAACAGTATAGCAGGAGCCCGATAAATTCTTGGACCGAGCTATTGTCGTAAGCCAATACAAATAATTAACCACGAGTAATCGTGGTATCAAACACAGGTTATTTAGTAATAAAGTAATGACAATCCACATTCGTAGAAATTGTTACTTCATTATTTTATTATTATATAATGTTTAAAAAAAAATAGCACTTGAAGAAGCTGATTCATGCATGCCTTTGCGATTT